AGCAGCTGACTTGGGGACGCTTGGGGTTCTTAAGTTGATTCTGTATGTAAGTCGGAACTGGCGGTCAGTTTCAGCAGCGGCTGACAAATCAGTGAATCTACTCACCCGTGGCGAGTAGATTTCAGCTGGTCGCCCCGTTCACCGGCGGTGCACGCATGTGCAATGCGGGTCTTGAGCGTGCGCAGTGTGGGGCTGGCGAGTAGATTTCGCCGCCATTTGTCAAGCCCTGGACATCACCATCACAATGGTTTTATGTGGATCTATGCTCATGCTGCTATGGAGTCTGCACGGGCAACCAAGGCCAAAAAGGAGCAAAAAGACTATTTCTCATTGATTAAATCAAGTGGGAAGGAGCAGACAATGTATTATGGGATGCTGACAACATAAGCCCATAACCATCCACTGCACAGTTTTGGTCCCAGAGTCTACTGGATCATAGCCCAGAATGCAAAGTGGTGCAGGCACTGTGGGATAGCTACCCAGAGTGTATTGCTCTCAAAGTCAACAGCAGTCTCCCTAATGGGGATGTGCTATTTTGAACTACATTGAATTTTTCCCTGTAATTGGGACACGGGCCTTCAACTTTACAACTAAGAAATCTACCATAATAGATTCAACCTCATCTCATAGTGTAGATGTGGCCTTAGACTGGAAGCTCCCTGGGGCAGGCATCACCTTTTCATTCTGTTTGTACAAAATGTGGTTCTGGTCCATGAATGGGCGCAAGATACTACAGAAATACAAATGAACATATTAGTAAAGGTGAGGGGCAACCAAAGTCTAGAAGGGATGAGTCAGAATGAGGATAACTTTGACACTTTATGATGCTGGCCAGAAAGAAGCAGTGAGATCTGTTCAGAGATGTGCCGAGAGAACCAAAAGAATTAGAGGAGAAGCCCAGATTAAAGGCCTGCATGCTGAGGAGGATGGTGGTGGGTAGCACCATGGTAGAGAAATGAAAGAGAGAGGGTAGGGCTCAGAGGAAACATCAGGAGCTTGGTTTGGATACTTTACACGCAAATTCTTAGCATGACTGGCACCCAGCACTGGGAGGCAAGGCTGAACTAGGATAACAGGTATCAAACTATTGCCCTGTTATAGTTCTGTTACTTGTTCAGTCTGCTGAGTATCGATTAGCAATATGTCTACGAGCACACATGCACAGCAAATCTCTCCTGATGCCATGTCTGGTAACTAAACCAAAAGTTGTGCGTGGACTGATAGCAGGGATCTACAGATATGTCACATCATAACGAATAAACTGACAGCAAAGGTCTCCTTCATTTGCCACAAAAGGGTGGTACTTTAAAGACAGATGCTGCAAATCTCTAGAATTTTAAGTCCTTAAAAAATATTCACATCTATCCTGAAAATTCAGAGAAACAAGTTGAAGTTATGGACATTAACAAACTAAACTCTAATCCCTGATTCATTTCCCACTTGCTCCCAAATTGTATCTCCTGATTCCCCATCACTGTGGGTGGAGAATTAGCCCCTATGACATGTTAGTCGTTTGATATAGGCATGTAATTCTCAGCACCATTCACAGGAAGTACATGTTGCATTTCACTCAGGGAGCTGTTTCATCTATGTGACAGATGTGGTTTGCTAACTCCACCATGGACAGAGGGAGGTGGGAATGACACTGACAGCAGAGAGGTATCTGTAAGGAAATCCTTGGGACAGTTCATCTTAGAGGTTTATGACTTAGGGAAAGTGTCATTTGAACTATTCTTTATGCTGCACGCTGCATGTTCCTGCTATCATCCATTGCACCACTTTTGCACTAATCTCCAAAACAGCATCATTCAAGCCAAATCTCAGAAAAAGGGATAAATCAGGACTACACAGAGCAAGTTCTGTTCAGAATATGATGTTCTGCACCTGCTTACACCAAGGAAACTTGCATGTGAGATGTATTACTTGCAACAACTATTAGAGCACAGAATCAGATTTATTTTTTATCCCCAGGCTATTTCATTTCAGGCCAAGCTTACATTTAAGAGCTTTACTATTTACTTAGCTATGTTCTCCTCCTCCTCTTGTTTAATATTATGTAAATTCTTTAAGTACATAAATCTAAACATTTTCCACTTGGTGCCTTCTGCTCCTTCTTGGCCATCCATTGTGACCTCACAATTAGTAGCTAGATATTGAAATGCATAAGCACGAAGAGGACTGTGATTTCAAAGTACTGTGGGTCACAAGCCACTGTGCAGAATGGGAACAGAGTTTAAAAGGCACTTACAAAAATGATAAAAAATTAATACCCCAAAATGCCTTTGCCAATTAGCAGCAGAATTTATAATGTACTATCTAATTCTGAAGTGAATAAAGAAGTTCATAACTGTTGAGTTTTGTAGACACATGATGTAAAACTAATGGTGTATGTGTGACATTTTCAGTAGGACTGTGCCATATTAACCATTAGCTGGACTAGTTGTTTCCTGAAAACAGCTGCAAAACATGTGTATAGAATCATAGAATAATAGGACTGGAAGGGACCTCGAGAGGTCATCGAGTCCAGCCCCCCGCCCTCAAGGCAGGATCAAGCTCCGTCTACACCATCCCTGACAGATGTCTATCTAACCTGTTCTTAAATATCTCCAGAGAGGGAGATTCCACCACCTCCCTTGGCAATTTATTCCAATATTTGACCACCCTGACAGTTAGGAATTTTTTCCTAATGTCCAATCTAAACCTCCCCTGCTGCACTTTAAGCCCATTACTCCTTGTCCTGTCCTCAGAAACCAAGAGGAACAAATTTTCGCCTTCCTCCTTGTGACACCATGTGTATGTATGTATGTGTATGTGTGTATGTTTGTTTTGCAGCTTCTGACTTACTATGTTTAGATGAAAATAACTGTAATGCAGTAAAATCACACGACAACTGGTATAACATATTGTACACAAATTTCTTAAGTAATAAGAAAAATCACATACCGTATTTGTATTTTTTAAAGGGAGGTGGAAGTCCTGTTCTTAATGACACATCTATTAAAAATAAAGAGACTACATGAAAAGGAATGCAACAGTTTTCTTTTCATATTCTAAGTGATCATGATTACTTCATGAAGCTTGCATTTTAAACTTGAATGCAATTTAAAATAGATCTCAAATCAGGAAACTTGTCTTAGTTGAAGAGCAAACAATACAACTCTGAGCCCAGAGCCTGCAAATGCTATGGTACATGCTTAACTTTAAGCCCCATTGACTTCAGTGGGACTACCGACATGTAAAATGTTAAGAAACGGTGGCCAAGATCAGATCGTTGGAGTCTGATCTTCCAAAGCTCTACTGTGATGTGTAGCCATTTAACATTTTCATCGGGGCAGAAGTCCTGCATCCCTGTTTTCAAATTGCACCCGAACAAATTACACAAATTAATTGGATTTGGAAAAAAATTATCTGCTAACCAGCTCCCCAAAGGAAACCACTGAAAATGAATCCTTTTCCATCTTGCTTGGTGTTGTGCAACTCCAGCTTGTGCATTTCTGGCTAACAAAACTCAGCCTAGAAGAAAACAAAACACATATGGGGGCTTCCCCCACCTAGAACAACTACACAGAACAGTTTCTCTCCACTCACATGAGACCACCTTTGCTTTCTCTCTCCACAAATACTGGGGTAGTCCCTATTCATGTAGGTGCAGTGACCAGAGATTCTGTAGATGATAGTCATACCTAATGCTTTTTGAGCAGCTGTCCAACAATGTATCCCATGCCGTGAGTCTTGACATCTGACAGTGGGATTTCCAGTGCAGTGCAGAGGGAGGTAATGCCTGCACATAGCTGGGCATCCTCTGTGGGATCCAAAGCCACAATCTCCATGTATCCCTGATTCCCCAGCAGCTGCACCCTGGCAGCCCAAAAGGAAACATGTGCAGCTGGCAGATTTAATGGAGCCACAAAAGTTATCCCATTAATTTGCTCCTCTACACCAGCTTATGCATAGACTGCAAAGTACAGGGATAAAATGAGTGTTCAAGAACAACAGTGCCTTACCATTCTTTACAAATGCAATGAATTGCTTTACTGTTTGGTCCAAATTAACTCCATGATACACCAGAGGTCTGAAATTACGGTGTTCAAAGGAGCGAACCAGGCGAACAGTAACAGTTGAGTTTTCTGATGACATATGAATTAACTGCAAACACCCTAGAAGACATTAAAGAGAGTAATTGCCAAGTTATCACTTTGTAGAACTATAACTGCTAAAAGAAACAGGTGCAGGTACATCAGTACAATGCCCACGAAGAGTTAAAAATTGACAATATTGTAAACATTGTGCCCTCCCAGTTCAGATCCAATTCTGCACCACTTCTGCCATGACTACAATGTGAACAAGGGCAGGGCCATAGCCTCCTCATTGATACAGGATTGTCCAGGATGGTAAAGGTAGAATTTGACCCTATGCTTATGTCTACACTACTGCAGAAAGTTGACCTAAGCTATGCAACTCCACTTAAGGTATGTCATCGCCAGCTAGGTTATTCACTAAGTCAAGTTACTGCAGGGTCTACAATGCAGGAGGTTGACAGGAGAAATTCTCCTGTTGACTTCCCTTACTCTTCATGTCTGAAGTAGAGAAAGGGGAGTCAACTGGAGCAATCTGTGATTGATTTGGTGGGTCTTAACTAGATCCACTAAATCAACTGCCAATGGATCGATCCTCTGTGTAATGTAAATGTAGCCTAAATGTCAGATGGCCCAGTTCTGCAGTTGTTCCATCGACTGAACATCCACAAAGTACATCGGCAGCTCTATGAACAAACCACTAGGTCAGAAGGGAAAAAATGGCAGAAAAGTGATTTAAATATGCGTGTAAGCAGGGTCTGAATCAATGCTTACATTACAGTCAGCTGGAATGGGAAAGAAATCCTGGGTGTATTTATGTAAATGCAGTTTCCCCCTGCTTCGCTTAGATATATTAGATATTCAGCTGCTTAGTGTTTTGCTCATTGTAATCAACTTGGCTGGTGTTGGGTCACAAATTGTGTTAATACTAAATTCAGGAATTGTGAGATATGATCACCAATGCTTGCCGTTATTGTGGGAATGCAGAAAAGTCAGACTGTTTAACTCAGTTAAAAGTAGAGACCCTGTCAGTGTAAATACAGAGGATGGGCAGAGGCTCATCTTCCAGAGCCCTATGAGATTAAGCTGGGGAGGGAGGACTCTGAGGATGCATCTACACTGAATCCTTAGCTAGAATTGAGCTACGCAAATTGCTTAGTTTATTTCAAGTTAATTTTGAAATAGCTTATTTGGTAATTTGGTACTGTCCACACAGAACCAAATTTTGAAATAAACAACCATTGCAAAACATCCCTTAATCCTCATGGAACGAGGTTTACAGGGACATTCTTTTGAAAGCTATTTCGAAATAACAGGCGTGCTGTCAAGATGTGGAATACACTATTTCGAGATAGCAAAAGCATCCCAAAACAGCACCACAGCATAGACGTTCCCTGAGTCAGCAGACTGCATGCCCTCCAGGTATGAGCTGTAAGACGGGTCCAACTGTTTCTCTCCACTGTTTTATTGGCAGAGCTAAAGAAGGCTCCAAAGGAGTCTCTTTAATATTTAAATTGACTCCATGCTGGAATCTCTTGTGGTTCCACTGTGCTTCGGGCTAAGAGCTGAAATCAATGACAGATGAAATCACTAGGTTTGGCCCAGAGCCAAATCCACCATAAGCCAGTGGAAGATGCAACGAGCAGCATGATGAGCAGCCAGCAGGTGATGGAAAGACATAAGGAGCAGCTAGCAAAGCAGTGGCAGCAAGGGGCAATGAATGACCAGCAGAGCAGCACGAGGTGAACGGCGAATGACCAGCAGAGTAAGATGCCGTCTACCTCCCCTCCACTCAGGATGGGAGATGAACGCTGCAGATGCACCTCTGAATCTGAGTCTGCTGTAAGGGCAGCAAATGTAAGTGGCATGCAGAGAAGGGTTGGGCATGTGAAGGAGACATGTACATTGCTGGACTTGAGAACCTGAGAGGAAAAGAATATTGCCCAACCTACTTGAGCAGGGATGTTTACTCATGGTTTTGGTTATGAACTCTGTGTTTTCCCAAATTAATGCCACATTACTTCCCTCTCCTTGCATGTGGGGTAGCATTAATTCTCAGAGGCGCCCAGGGTGTTGTGTGAATTTCTCAAATTACTGGGTGGGTGGCTCGAACCAGTTGTGTTGGATGGATAGAAAGGAAGCCCTAGATCAGTGATTCTCAAAGTGTGGTTCATGACCATCTTGCAAGTGGCTGTGTACTCAGGACTGGTCCCCCTTGCAGTGGGGATCCTGCACTAGTGCTCCACCCACTAGGAGGCTGGCTTTCTGCTGCAGGGAGCAGAGTCCCAAGCCTCACAGGCCGAATCCAGCTTGTGGGGGAAGGTAGTGGCTCTGAGAGCTGCTGCTTCCTCTTGCTCCGGCTGCGGAAACAGTAACGCAAGAAACCACTTACCTGGAAGCTTTCCCCATTGCTCCCATTGGCCAAAATCGCAGCCAGACTCCTGTACCCCCACCCTCAGCCTGCTCCTGCATCCAACCTCCTGGCTAGACCCCCACCCTCTGCCCAGTTCTGCACCCCCATTTTGTCATCATAGATGGTTGGCTGGTGGTCCACGGAAAGGTTTGCATTGAGCAGGTCGGGCCATAGGCCAAAAAGTTTGAGAACCACTTCCCTAGATACTGAACCCAGCCCTGCCGCTGGTGCTACCTGGCAGAAGGGTTTTATGTGCAATGAATGTTTTGCTTTTAATTTATTTGCAAGTCCAAGTTGTGGAAGAGTCTGCTTGTCTTCTATCATCTAAAGGATAGAATTAGACTCCATAATCAAAAATAAGTTCTTATTAATAACACATCTGTGTTGCATAGACACAGCCTATAGAAAAATACCTGTGCTACTACCTAAGGCTCATCCCTTCATTGTATAACAAATAAAATTAAATCCAACAAAATAATAGCACTAAGATGTTATGTAATTTGTGTATGAATTAGGGGACAATTTCTCCTCTCATTTACACTAGCATAAATTCAGAACAACCCCACTGGGTTTACACTTCTGTAACTGAAGGCAGAATATGGATTGGTAGGTGATTTTCACTTAAGTCTACTTTTCTCCCCCACTTCCCCTTTAAGCAAAATCAGCCAGACTTTAATCAGTTCAGCACCTTCAGTCAATTTCCTGTCTTTTTAGTCAGCAGAGTGGTTTCCTACCACTAACAACATCCCTAGTTTTCAGTAACAGATGTTCTTCCACTTCCCTGTTCCATTAGTTCATTGGGCCACAGCTTCAGTAATAGGAAGTTTGCCTTGTATAAAGATACATTTCAGCTAGTTTGCCCATTAACAGCTACATCAGTTCTCTCCAACTAATCTGAACGTTTTCTCTCTCTCTTGCTCATTTTATTGGGTTTTTTTCCATGTTTTTTATGTATTTGTTGTTCCTTAGTAACTGAGACTTGTGAATCTGAAATGTTTTAAATTGTGTATTTAGTCTTTATCAATCTGAGGGTATGTCTACACTACCCTCCTAGCTCGAACTAGGAGGGTAATGTAGGCATACCGCACTTGCAAATGAAGCCCGGGATTTGAATTTCCCGGGCTTCATTTGCATAAGCGGGGAGCCGCCATTTTTAAAACCCTGCTGGTTCGAACCCCGTGCAGCGCAGCTACACAGGGCTCGAACTAGGTAGTTCGAACTAGGATTCCTATTCCGAACTACCGGTACACCTCGTGGGGTTCAAACCAGCGGGGTTTTAAAAATGGCGGGCCCCCCCCTATGCAAATGAAGCCCGGGAAATTCAAATCCCTCCCCGCTTATGCAAATGAAGCCCGGGAAATTCAAATCCCGGGCTTCATTTGCAAGTGCGGTATGCCTATATTACCCCGCTAGTTCGAACTAGCGGGGTAGTGTAGACATACCCTTAGATACTTATATAGTCCCTATTACCGCAATATCTGAGCACCTCACAATCTTTAATGCACTCATGCTCACAACTCTCCTATGAGGCAGAAAAGTGCTATTTTAATCTGATGGGGATCTTAGGTACAAATCTCCCAAGTCCCAAGCTAATGTGCTAAACCCCGAGCTATCCTTCTTCTAAGTAATTCACAGGGCTCCACTTCCATTTTTATTTGGAGGAGAATCCTTCTGTCCTCCCACTTCACCTAACTTTTGCAAGCAGGGGGAATGGTCACGTTTAAAGTTTTTGACCCAGGTTCTATGTCTGAAGCATAATAATCAAGTTAAAACAAAGAATATCAGCATCCCATTTATATATCAACATGTACATACAGAAAATAAATTCTTTTGTATCTGAGAAGAGGGTTTTTAATTATGCTATAAAGAGGTGAACATTTCTTGGTCCTTCTCCATAGCGGACTGAAAGAACCTTGGCACAGTGCAGGACCCTACTGGGTTCTGAGCACACAGTACCCACCAGAACTACATAAGATCATCCTGGAGGGAACAAATTCTAAGATGAAGACTAGCCACTGAGTTGAACACTCACACCTAGATGAGGAAGTGCTGATAACTTAGACTGATCTAACATCAAAATGAGCTAGATTCTGTGCTGCACTTCTCAGGAGGCACAACATAGAAGGTGCAACCTAGAAAACCAAGGAACTGACCAATACAAACATACTGATGGCCAATTGTACTCTGTAAGAAGCAAACCTTTTCTGGACTTATGCTTAGATATGCCTTCCATGTCTAAGACAGACAGAAGGCTACCGAGGTTGACTAAAGAGCTGCACTAAAGCCCTGCCCCTGCAGTATAAAGAAACCAAAGGTCTGGGAATCCCTTTTCTGTTTCTCATCTAAGAGCCCAAGAATGAATGAGCAATCCAAGTTGACAGTCCACTGAAAATTCCCCCCATATTGCATCCTCTTCCCTCATATCCTAGTGTCCACTACTGACAGCCCTTTGCCTCTAACCCCCAATATCTGCTAAAGGCAATCCTCCACCCCTTACAATCCTTACTTGCTCTTCTTCCCTCCTCCCTCCCTTCCTTCTCCCCCCCCCCCCTTACGCCTGCCACATACACTTGCTTTATCACTGTCATGTACTTGGATATCTACATGAACACAGTAGGCTGCAGGGCTGCTACTAATAGGCCAGGCTTCTATATCAGATTTAGACTGGCTACAGAACTTCCCTCGTAGAGATACAAGCAAGTTATATGTTCTCTTAAAGATATTTTAATGCACTGTTTCTCAAACTCTTTGATACCAGGGACTGGCTTGCCACCTTCCTAAACTGTGTCAGGGAGATGTTAGGGATCACCAATCGACAGACTAGTTCTTGAGAAACACTGCTTTAAAGTACCATTGCTGTTACCATCTCAAGAAAGGTATTTTATGTGCCACCTAGTGGCTGAACAGTATAATAAATTTTAATATTCCAGTACATTCTGAATTTTAAGTTTTACATTCTTAGCATTTATATAAAAGTTACACTATCATACGCTCTCTAAAGTCCAACCTTTGAGTCAAACTAATTTTCTAACAAACAACAACTTGGTTGTTTGACTGTCTATTAGTTGCAATGACTGTATCGGATCAGTTTAAAATTTTTGAATGATCTCATTCTCAATGAACCATCTGTAGTTTGCTATGTTGATTGTTTTGAGGAATAAACTAAAATCAACAGTTTCTGTTGAAGTCTCCATTTTCTGTCTCTATCACACCTGGCCTGGACAATAAATTTGTTTTGTTTTTGTTAAAACAGCTGAGACTACACATCCTTTTCTTCCATCCAGTTTGATGCAAACACAGTCACTACATTCTAAGTCTGGCAGCTGAGTGATAATTGCTATAAAAATGTTCATAAGTTCTTTTTGCCTTTTTATCCAGTTTAGCTACTGTCTTCACTGTGAAGATACAGTAGAATATCAGAGTTACAAACACCTCAGAAAATTGAGTTTTTTCATAATTCTTAAACATTTGTAACTGAACAAAATGTTATGGTTGTTCTTTCAAAAGTTTACAACTGAGCACTAACAGCTTCGAAGCTTTACTATTCAGAAGAAAAATGTTGCTTCCCTTTTACTTTTTAGTAGCTTATATTTAACATAGGGTACGTCTAGACTATATGCCTCTGGCGACAGAGGCATGTAGATTAGGGTACCGGACATAGTAAAATGAAGCGGCGATTTAAATAATCGCCGCTTCATTTAAATTTACATGGCTGCCGCGCTGAGCCGACAAACAGCTGATCAGCTGTTTGTCGGCTCAGCGCGGCAGCCATGTAAATTTAAATGAAGCGGCGATTATTTAAATCGCCGCTTCATTTTACTATGTCCGGTACCCTAATCTACATGCCTCTGTCGCCAGAGGCATATAGTCTAGACGTACCCTATGTTAAATATAAGCTACTAAAAAGTAAAAGGGAAGCAACATTTTTCTTCTGAATAGTAAAGCTTCGAAGCTGTTAGTGCTCAGTTGTAAACTTTTGAAAGAACAACCATAACATTTTGTTCAGTTACAAATGTTTAAGAATTATGAAAAAACTCAATTTTCTGAGGTGTTTGTAACTCTGATATTCTACTGTATCTTCACAGTGAAGACAGTAGCTAAACTGGATAAAAACTGTACTTTGCTTTTTGTTTGTCTCTGCTGCTGTCTGTGTATATTGGCTCCAAATGAGGTGTGTGGTTGATTAGTCAGTAAATAACTCTTCTGTTCACAATTCTGAAATTCTACTGTAGATTCTTTTCCAAAATTGGAACAGTAGTTCTAGGTTGTTTTCCTATCAGGAACTGTGCTGAACCAGCAGTTGATATCAATATTTATCTGCAACTCTACAGATCAATAAACAAAACTTTCCTGTTGTATTATTTTCTTGGCTGTATGCAAAGTTCTCTCAACCTCTCCATTCATTTGTGGATGATATGAGCTGTTAGTAATAGGATTTGAAGGAGATTGTACAACCCTTCTGGTATGACTTTCATTTCTGTAGAGCCCTACAATTCCATGGATATCTACAGGTGCATTGCAGATGTGAATGCAGATATTGGCGGCTCATTTTCGCAGATACAGATAGCCAGAGCGCTGTCCGGCGTTCTGCCACGGGCGAGTAGATTGTATAATTTGTCGAGCCCTGAAGATAGCATACAGATACACATTTTAGAACCCTGCAAATTTGCAGATATCCACTGGTATACACATCCAGATATCCACAGATCATTTTTGCAGATGCAGATACTAACTTTGTATCTATGCAAGGCTCTACACAATTTAAAGTCAATAATCTTTCCATCAACATTCAGTTTCTCTCTCCAAGCAGGCTTTGTGATCACACTTGATAGTTCCTGGAAACAATGGCTCCTGACTGTCCCAGTGCAACAAATATCTATGTAATGTCTATATTTTGTGTATTTATTATCTCTCGTACTTTCGGCCAGACACACCTCTTTTGGGCTATGATTCTTTCCATATCTTGTGCATTTAATCTGGAAGGTTTTGTAGTTAGCCTGTGTATAAGATCAAATCTATCATTAATTATGGGACTAGAGATGCTTTTGTCTGTAAGACCAATAACCAGTCCACCTCTGATATTTTCATGTTTTACGGTCCCCAGATCAGAGTTTTCTGCCAAGGCATGCAAAACTGTTGTAAAAAAGTCAACAGATTTCCCTCATCTGTGACTTCTCTGGCAAAGAGGTGCCCTTTCATATGCTACATTGGGGATATAAAAGCCCGTTTAATTGGACTAGAGTCTCCCCCCCCCCCCAGCCCAAGAAGGGTCCCCCCCCCACGGACCCAGTAAGCAGCACCCGGTAAGGGCGCCACTCACGGGCGAACCTCTCACGTCCCTACCCTGCATTTCTCGCAGGAGCCAAGGCAGTCACCGCCCAAGGCCGGGACGCTTCCCGGTGCCCTTCGGGGCTCCTGGGCACTGAGGCAATGCATGTAAAGCTGCACCCCGCCAGAGCAGGGATGAAAGCCGCAGGCTGCGGGGGGAGGGG